CTCCGGCCGGCGTGACCGGAAAGCCATGGCTGGCCCTCTGTCCGCTTGGCAGCTGGGGCTGGTGCTTCACAGGCTGCAGGTCTCCCAGGCAGCCCTCCTCTGCAGGAGCTGTGACTGGGGAAAGCTTAGCTGCTCTCAGAGGATCTGGTACAGTCCCCATGGACTGTCTCCGGCATATGGTTTGCCCTCAGCTTCCCCTTGGAGTTTTCTCGCAGGGCGGTGGGTACGATGGGGCACGCTGTCGGTGACAGGTTTCCTGTAAAGCTAATCTGTTAATGAAAGAAATACAGTGTTAGCAGCGGTCAGACTTGAGAAGAAAAAGTACCCAGAACAGGTTAATTTTACAGCTTGGAGAGAAATACTTGCAGGCAAGGGGGAAAGTGAAGCACCTGATCCTGCCTAAAAGTCACATAAAAGACATGGATTTCAAGGATCTCCCAAGGTCCTGATGGAGAATATAATACTAGGGACAAAGCAAAACATCTGCCCTGTTGTTGATACATTAATGAAAACATAATGACATGCCAAGAGGGAGGCCAAAAAAAAGAAATACGAAGTGAAAGCAGGGATGAATGGGAAGGGGAGCAAACTGTGTGTGGAAATTTGAGGTCACAAAATAAACTCACTGCGACAAAATTGTCTAGCAAGCCATCTGTGGAAGGACAGGTGCTACCTTGCCTGTTGCACCTGTGTGGAGAACAGCTCCGATGCCCACACTGTGACCTGAATGGACCCCACGCCTTCGCCAAGCACCAGTTCTCCCACCTTCTCATGCAGAGACCTTCTCCAGCTCCACTACCAACAAGTATCTGCTCACAGAGGGCAACAGGTCAATACAGACTAATGTGGATGAACCCAAATCTCTCTGGTAAAAGGAATACAGAGGGACAACAACCTACTAGGTGGTGCAGATAAACACCAAGAGAAGCTGCTGCGCTACACAGCACCGGGGCTGTGTACGTACTTAACTGCTTTCACATATAGATCCTTCAAAATCATTATAAGGGAGCCAGCTTGATTAATAAACGGGGGCACAGATGACCTAGAAATCAATTTACGAGCAGGTGGTATGAAACTAGAAGGGGAACACTGAAGCACTGCAGAGCAGGAGGGGCCCATGCCATACCCAGTAAAACACTGGGGAGGGATTTTAAGCAGGTGGAGCAGAATTATCCAGGTTGAAATCGGGCCAGGACTGCGGAGAAACCATCGCTTCAAACAAGAGGTGATCTCCAAATGTGCCTGCTGGCTGGGCTTTCAGAAGGACTTAGTGCTGCCCAACTCTGACCTTGCTAGAGGTCAAGGGCTGGATCCCTGTCAGTGTCAGCAAAGCAGTGGTGACCAGTGATAAAATCCCCCCCAGCCTTCCTTTAAATTGCAGGCTACCTATGCTCATTTAAGAGGTATTCCACAGCTTATGCTGCCAGCAAAGCATAGGTGTGAGACCTGGGAGACACCCTGAACATTTCGTTTTATGTTAACCAGAGGGATGATGCTGGGAGAATTACCGTACCTCTGTGTGCCCATGACTCTGCAGGCACAGAGCGGGGTCTCCTCTGCTACATTACCTGGGAGACGCTGCTGGAAGGAGCTGTGCCATCGCTCAGTTGTTCCAGACCCTCCCTACCCCCTAGCACAATCAGCAAAAGCCCTTTCCAGAAAACATCCCTACCCTCCTTTTCTCTCTCAGCCTGAACAGCAGTGGGATAAATTCCTTAGTTTCTGTAAAATTAATCCTAAATTTCAGCATCTTAGGGTACTTAGAAAGAGCAACAGGAGAAAAATGCTCAATGAAAAGAAAATTAAAACAAATACAGCCAGTCTATTTTTCTAAGAAAAGGAAAAGGCTGTGACTTATTACTTATTCATTAAGCTTTATGTCTTCCAGCTATTAATAATTTATTGTTTTTATACTGTCTCTTTGGGCTCTGTCCAACCACCGATATACAGAGTCTGCTGGGTTAAACCAGCCCTGGGAAATTGTGACCCTGCCCCTGAAGGATCCCGAGTTTCTTAGCTGCAATCTGTGATAGCAGCCCTGCATCACTCCAAAACGGCTTTCCGGCAAGGCTAACGATTGCTTAGCTTTTTGAGAAAAACTGAGTTTAAACCAGACTGCAAATCGGTGGAAGTTTGTGTCCACCTACAAGATATCTTCACTGTAAAGCCAGCCAACATGGTCCTGAAGCAAAGGAGAGCCGTTCCAAGTTCACGCTGTTGTACTATGAACGTCTAACGACCATGAGGAGAGGAGCCGATGGCTTGGGTATCTGTTTGTCTAAATTCCATTACTCTGTTCTTTCCTTTTCCAAACATCGATGCAAAGCAAACCAGTATATACAATTGGGCAGGTCACATTTCTTTTTTTTTTAGATCCAGAGTTTATTTAAGAACAACTAAACAAATAATGGAACAAAACCAATGCCCAAATTTAGGATGAAATGTACTACTTGGCAAACAGTTTCAGAAGAAATAAAGATGGCACAGCAAGTTGTTTGGCTCTTCACTACACAAAACCTGGGAAAGGCAATCTACACGCCAGATCACTGGCTTTAACTCATACCCACTCAATGGAGGAATGATCCCTAATTTTTCATTTAAAGGAAATAGTTCTGATCTGAACCCCCACATGAATTCTCCCCATCTGTTTTGTGGCTCTTCACCAGCACCACTAGAAACACACATTTAAACGACTGCCACATGTGCCAGTTAAAAGCAATTCTGCTACTGAGTCCTCAACATATAATGTTGACAGGGGAAATTCTGGCTCAAAAACCCCACATGGACCTATTGTCTGATGTGGGACAACAGAGCACAACCCAGACATTTCACTTGACCCTTGAGCATGAGTTGGGGGGCTGGGTCATTGTACTGCCTGGCACAACTCTGAAAATGAGTTAGTTTATGAGAATAAGGTTTTTATAAAGACTTTGTTGTCAAAGTCATGGAAGCTATTTTCTTATTAGACTTTTCACTAAGTCATCCTAATGACGGAAGCCTAAGGCACTGTGGCAGTCTAAATAAATGCAGGAATTTTTGACAATCCTCTTTCTGAATAATTAATAGAAATCAGAATGAAATGTAAGTCTTACATAAGAGAAAAGCAAGCAAAACCAACTAATTACAGAATTGGAAAGGCATTTTTATTATGGGAGTCTTATTTATGATTATTATCTCATTTTTATTAGTGGAGTCTTATATATAGGAGTGAAGAACAACACTAGGACCTGTGGGCAACACCATTCAACTGCCAAGCCAGTGAGGATTTAAACTAACAAGCAACACTGACTGCAAGCAAATACCTAGAAGAAACAGAAATACAAAACTCAGTAGTAGGCCAAAAAACATGTCAAAACAAATCAAGATGCTGATGAATTTTTCAAGTGTTGTATGCCTGACCTGGAGCAATCTTCCAAAATTTTCTTTCATCTGGAGGTGAAATTAGTATCTCCACAAAGGTCAAAATCAATTTTTAGCAACAAGAACAGATTTTCTACATCCACACAGTTCCCCTTCATTGTATTCTTTCAGACCAAAATCAGTCTGCCTGACTGTGTCAATCTCATCTCAACACAGAATTTTTCTGGACCTTTTGTAACAGGAAGTTTCTAACTTTGACAAAGACAATGTTTGGCTTATATGGTCTGGGAGGTTCCCTCCATGTCCAGCAGACCTTCATGAACTCTTGTCACTGATTAGATCATCTTTATGGGCTCTAAAAAACCCCAAAACCCAAACCTCAGGAAGTTTCCAGGCAACTCAATGCTGACAACGTAAAGAAACTCCTACTTCTTTCAGTAACACCCATCCCCCAAGAAAACATCACAAATTTCCCTCTTGCTGCTTATGAGAATGTCAACAAAACCAGAAAGGCTACACATTTAATAAAACAAGAAATTTTCAAGAAATTCTGTCATAAGATTCTGCTTCCTATTGCCTCTTGAAAAATCTGAAAAAGTGCAAAAGCACAAATAAGATTACCATCATCTCCACCTACCCTCAATTTTAAAAAGAATTTACAAACAAATAATGAAAAACATTTAAAAAGCAGCTCACAAGCTAATCAAGCACCCCCTCCCCAATTCTGGATTCTCATCAGCTTTCCTTTCCTTGAGCCCCCTCTTCACCCTCGTCTCTACAAATGGAAGAACTGTATATTTGTTCGTAACAGTTCTAATCTCATCACACTATCTCTCAGACCCTCACAAAAATCAGCATACAGCCGCAACGGTTAAGGACACAGATAAACATCTGCTGAAGCAGGATTTCATTCTCCCTTCTTTTCTCCTGATCTAAAGAAAAGACAATGGCATGCCCTAACTCATATTAGACCACTGATTGTGTAGAACACAAAGCACATTTCTTTAAATTTTTAACATACACATGCACTTGCACCCTTCTGATTCTGCACTCAGTGATTTTTTTTTCCAGCTCATTAAGCTGTTGTTCTCTGTAAACTCTGTGACTTCCTCTTTTTGGTGTCAAAGGGTGTTTGTTATTCTGTTATTCTGTGAAATATTCGCTTCATGGGTTATTTTCTCTTAATTATCTGTGGGACTGAAGACTGGCACTACAAATGAAGGACAGCACAAACCAAGGACATACACATTAAAATACAAAAGATGTTGCCCGAAGAGGTAAGATACAAGATCCACAGCTTCCATCTTTCAGCATGCTTTGGGATGCTGACAGGAGACAGACTCATACGCTACAGTCACGGGGAAGCAAGAGGCGACAGGGGATGCCCACAGATACCTTGCATACATGTGGTTGCCACAAAAGATGGGGTTGGCATTTCAAGGAGAAGGTGCACGAAGTCCCACTTGCCCTTCTACACCTGGGGACCACAGATGTTATTGCAGGCCACACCTGCGAACGCTGCAGCACCCCGTGCCACAGACAGACAGGGAGGTGGATGGCAGAAGCAACAAGTTCAACGCCACGGGGCTGCAGCATCCTCCGTGCAGATGCTCTACAAAGCGGGTAACCGTAGGTGGCGGTTTGCTTTTGACTGGCCTCTGCTGATTCAGTTAGCAGAACTGCTGTGACACGTTAGCAGACACTGCAAAACATCTATTTATTCCCTCACTATCCAGTGAACCGATATGGCTTTACTCATCCCAGACGGACAATAGCCTATTGCTAGACTGCTTTCAGTGC